GCTGAGACCCGGCTCCCCCTGCTTGTGTGTCTCGCATCTGGCGAGGCATGGCCACCGTGGAGAAGGATTCCTTTTTCTAATTTGCCACCTCCAGGTTATAGTCCAAAGAGAAAAAAGGCTTGAAAATGTAGAAAAGAGCATAAGAGTTAAATATCCTATTGCCTTTGCATTGTCCATATGGTAGTAAAAGTACTGATGTATTTTAGACTCTAGAAAGTCAGAGAGGCATGCTGTAATAGCTAAGGTAACCATAGATATGAGACTTTTCTCAAATATATAGATTGCAAATGTTTTCTGCTATTCTATAGCTTTTTTTCCATCATCTGAACAGGGTATATCACTGCCCAAAAGTTTTTGATTTAGTATGAAGAGTTTTTTTTTTTTTGATAATTTAATTAATTTATGTTTTCCCCCAAAGCCCCAGTAGATAGTTGTATGTCATAGTTGCACATCCTTCTAGTTGCTGTATGTGGGATGCGGCCTCAGCATGGCTGGAGAAGCGGTGCGTCGGTGCGCACCCGGGATCCAAACCCAGGCCGCCAGCAGCGGAGCATGTGCACTTAACTGCTAAGCCACGGGGCTGGCCCAGTATGAAGAGTTTTGATGAAGCACAACTTATCCTTTTTTTTTGGCTTTTGATGTCATGTTTAAGAACTTTTCACCTACTTTGTCTTGAAATTTTTCTTCTGTGTTTCCTTCTGAAAGATTTATAATTTTCCATTTTATAGTTAAATCCATGATCCACTTTGAAGTAATGTTTTAAACTATAGTCACGCATCACTTAACAACGGGGATACATTCTAAGAAATGCGTCGTTAGGGATTTTGTTGTTGTGTGAACATCATAGAGTGTACTTACACAAACCTAGGTGGTATAGCCTACTACACACCTAGGCTGTATGGTACTAAGCTTATGGGACCACTGTCGTATATACGGTCCTTCATTGACTGAAACGTCATTATGCAGCACATGACTCTATATGAAATTTAGGTCAAGTTTCAGTGTTTGCTTGTGGATGTCCAATTGTTCCAGCACCATTTATTTAAAAGGCTATCTTTCCTTCAACTGAATTGCTTTTGCTTCTTTGTCAAAAAATCTTTGTGTGAGTCTATGTCTGGGTTCTCTATTCTGTTCTGTATCTCCATGTGTCTATCCCTCTGCCAGTACCATACTGTCTTGATGAAGCTTTCCAGTTGTGGGGAAAAATATTCAGTCTTTCACCATTTAGTATGATGTTAGCTATAGTGTTTTTTTAAAACCATATTATCGAGATAATTCACATACCATACAATTCAACTGTTTAAAGTGTACAACTCAATGGCTTTTCGTGTATTCACAGAGTTGTTCAAACATCACCACAATTTTAGAACAATAACCCCAAAAAGAAATGCCACATGGCTTAGCTGCCACCCCTTAACGCCCCAACACCACCTACCGTAGGCAACCACTAATCTACCATCTCTATAGATTTGCCTATTCTGGACACTTTGTATAAATGGAATCACATAAGGCATAGCCTTTTTCGTCTGGCTTCTTTCACTTACATACTGTTTTCAAGGTTCATCCAAATTGTAGTATGTGTCAGTGCATTTCCTTTTATTGCTGAATAACATTTCATTGTATGGATAGACCACACTTGTCTATTCATCAACTGATGGGCATTTGGGTTATTTCTACTTTTTGGTTATTATGAATAATGCCCCTATTAACATTAAGTGTACTAATTTTTGTTTGGACATGTGTTTTCATTTCTCTTGGTTATAAACCGAGGAGTGGAATTGCTGAGTCATAGGGTAACTCTATGTGTCACCGAGGAGCCGTCAGACTGTTTTCCAAAGCACTTGCCCATTTTACATTCCACCTGCAGTGTATGAGGGCTCCAATTTCTCCACATCCTCACCAACACTTGTTAACGCCTGTTATCTGTCTTTTTGATTATAGCCACCCTAGTGGGTGTGAAGTAGTATCTTGTGATTTTGATTTGCATTTCGCTGATGGCCCATAATGCCGAGCATCTTTTCGTGTACTTATTGGCTATTTGTATGTCTTCTTTGGAGAACTGGCTATTCAGATCCTTTGCCCATTTTTATTGGGTTATTTGTCCTTTTATTATTGAGTTGTAACACATTTTTTTCTGTTCTAGATGCAAGTCCCTTATCAGGTATATGATTGCAAAAAATTTCTCCTATGTTGTGCGTTCTCTCTTCACTTTCTTCATGGTGTAGCTGTAGGTACATTTTGTAAGGTATTCGTTTTTTTCATCATGGTTAAAAAAACCATAACATTGAATTTACCATCTTAACCATTTTTAAGTGTACAGTTCAGTAGTGTTAAGTATATTTACACTGTCACACAACAGATCTCTAGAGAATGGAAGTTTTGCTCTCTACTGGGGACCCAACACGTTGACTCAGCTGTCTGGGATGCTGTCACTTAGAATGGAAACTTTTTTATGTGGTTTCGAAACACTTTCAGGTTTTGAAAATTGCTGTAATGAGAGGTGTTACAATGTTCAGAGGTGGAACAAGGGAAGGTAAATGTCAAGCATGTCTGTTCAACCCAGCAAGGTAATGAAAGGAATTTTTAAATACATCTTGATTGGCAAACAGTGGTGGTCATGATTTTAAAACATTTGGTAGGAAGACCCTGGCCTCTGGATTGGAAGGCCTGCTGGAGTGTTGGGTTCACCACAGATCCTGTGACTGTGACAATGAGAAAGTCACCATCTCTGAGTGGAGACAAAGGGGAGGTGACGCCTCCCTCCCAAGCACTGTGGTGAGGGTTCAATGATATTATGGCATGTACTCTAAAAATGGTTGAGAGGCATTCTGGGCTGAATTTGTCTCCTCAAAATTCATATGTTGAAGTCCTGAGCCCCAGCACCTTAGAATGTGTATATGGATATAGGGCCTTTAAAGGGGAGATTAAGTAAAAGGAGGCCATTAGGATGGGCCCTAATTCATTCTGACTGGTGTCCTCTCAAAGGAGGAGATTTGGACACATGCAGAAACACCGAGGATGCACCCACAGAGGAGAGACCATGTGAGCACACAGGGAGAAGATGGTCGTCTGCAAGCCAAGGAGAGAGGGCTCAGGAAAAACCAACCCTGCCCTTGATCTTGAACTTCCAGCCTCCAGAACTGTGAGACAATAAATTTCTGTTGATTAAGCCACCCAGTCTGTGGTACTTTGTGATGGCAGCTCGAGCAAATCGATACAAGAGGCAAATAGGAAATAAAGCTAGAAAATAATGACACTGAAATGTCCATTTACTAATAGAGGGGCTGCAGAATGGTGCTGCAGAAACAGGATAGAGTTGGGCATCAGAGATGTTTGTGTCCTGCTCTGCCACCGACTTACTCCATGACTAACGAATCGTATGTCCTCTCTGCCTCAGTTTCCCGGATTGCAGAGTGGCATGAAAGGCCTCGAAGAGCCATTCCAGCACAGACATTCTCTGATTCCAGTCCCCAGTCCTCTATCTTACAGTTGACTTGGTGACATCGGGGACAGAGAGAAGAGGAGTTCTGTCTCTCTTGAGAAGAGCCTAGAGCCAGCAATTACCAATAAAATGGTTTAGTGTAATTCAATCTCCAACTGCCTTTAAAAACGGTGTTTCAGAAAGAATACCAATACATTGCTAAGACCACACAAAGGAAACAGAAGTTCTCTCTCCAGGGTGGTTCTGAGACACGATTCATGAACTTCACCAGACCTGCCTTTCTGGAGAAATGAATGTTAAAATGTAAAAACGTTAAAATCCCATATTTTAACCCAAATAACACTTTCCAGCTTGGTCACTCAATGTGCTGATAAGAGGTAGGGCTCGTCCACAGCCAGAACCAGTTTGGAAACGAAACCTTGGAAGAAACTTTGACAGTTGTAGAAAGAAAGGTTCTTGTCGTCCCCCAGAACACGTTGGTGAGTCAAATCCTTTGCAGCTAAAACACTGATGGAGACAAGATTCGCTCATACAAAGGCCAGGCCGGCTCCCTAAGCACTTTCCGTTCTCTCTTAGCTGTAGCCTACTTCATTTTGATAAGCCAGAATTTCAGCACGTTGAAAATTACTTGAAATTCGGTCATTTCCTGGGGGCTGGAGAACTTTTTCTCTGTGGAGGTCTTGGTTTCAGTCAGGGATTACATGCCACATATTTAACCACCCTCGAGTTTGGACGCCAGTCATAAACAGCCTGGCCACACTGAGTCGGGATCGGCCCTGGTTTTCCCACATGGCTCCTGGAATGCTGTTTCATCTCCACACCAAAGAAACCCGATGTGCATTTTCCGGGCCTTCATGGAGCAGCCAGCATGCACTGTGTACACATGCATGTGCGTGCTGCAGGGGGCTGCAGCGGGAGGGAGGCATGGGACAGCTGGCTATCAGGCCTTCATAGGCTCCAGTTCTTCGTGGACAGAATTATTCACAGGATGTGATGGTTAAGTTTATATGCCAGCTTGACTGGGCCACAGGGTACCCAGAACCCAGATACTTGGTCAGACATTATTCGAGGTATTTCCATGAGGCTGTTTTTGGATGATATTAACACAGAAATGAGTAGACTGAGTAAAGCAGATTGCTCTCCTTGAGTTGGGTGGGCCTCATCCAATCAGTTGAAGGCCTGACTAGAACAGAAGGCTGACCCTCCCCCAAATAAGAAGACAAGTCCTGCTGCCTGACTATCTTCTAGCTGGGACATTGGCCTTTTCCTGCCTTCAGACTCAGGCTGAAGCATTGGCTCTTCCTGAGTCTCCAGCTTGCCCACTGAAGATCTTGGGACTTGTCAGCTCCGTAATCGCCTGAGCCAATCCTTTACAATAGAACTTTCTGTATTTATATATATTTATTTATATACACATCCTGTTGGTTCTGTTTCTACGACTACACGGGCTCTGAGGTAACGTTTCTTCAAAGCTCATCCTGTTAGACAATAGCAACCTTTGGGCGCTGTTATTTTTCAGGCTCAATTAGATTTTTATTTCTTTGTTTGTTCCAGGAAAAAACCCACATTGCCTCTAACTTAATATTTAAATATGTTCATTTTATTTGGCACTCTGAATAAAAGGCTTCTTCTTTACACAGAGTGGTTGGTAATTCCGTCATACTTTTCTTCCTAGTGGTGCCAGTGAGTGGACGGCCCCTCGGGCGGTCTTGGTTTCTCAGTTTAGGCTCTGTTTCCTCTTGTGGTGTTTGGCTCCTTTGAACAAACTTTTATGCTTCTTGATTTGCTTGAGAGTGTTTCCTGTTTGGGAAGAGGAGATTTTCTTGAGCAATTCGAGGTGTTCCTCTGAGCCTGCGTTTCAGCCCCTCCCGTGGCTCACGCTTATCAGCGAGCGCTGAGCCCAGCAATGGGGCTGTGGGACTGAGGGGTACGGGGCTGGGGCAGCGCTGGATTTCCTCCTTGGTTGTCTCTGACCCGTGACAACGCCTTCCTCAGGGTCCTCCAGGTGTGGCCCCCTCACAGGTCCCGTGCTAAGGGCTCAGCAGACATCACTCATTCACCCCTTGCCCCCCAAGAGGCAGGTGCTCTGAGGACCCCACTTTGAGAATGAAGAAGCTGAGGCTTAGGACTAGTGGTCACTTGCCTAAGGTCACCCCAAAGTCACCCAACTCATTTGGGGCCGGGTCCAAATCCTGCCCTCTGAGCCACCGCCCAGCTCCCACCAGCAGTGAGCCTGACCCTCAGGGTCCGTGCGTGGACGAGCAGCTCAGTGAGTGCTGGTCTCCGTTCCCCAGAGGAGCAGGGCGACTGGAAGGAGATGGAAGAAGAGAGAGTCCTGAGGGGGCAGGGATGAGGCTGTCAGGGGTATTCTGGGTTTAAGGTGCTGCACACCACCTGGAGATGCTCAGAGGGTGTTAAAGACACAGGACAGAACTCTAGAGGTCGGGCTAACAGGGCAGTGTTTGCATGGAGGGAAAAGTGGAAAGTGGGGTTTAGGTGAAGAGGGCAGTGAGTGAGGAGGGGGAGAGAAGAGAACTGGCAGGATGTTGGGGAACAAGAGGCCGTGGCCCAGACGGAGGAGGAGCCAGCAGAGAGGTGGGAGGAGCCAGGCGGAGGCAGTCACAGGGACGGAGGACAGAGTGGAGGAGAGGCATCCACGGGGCCAGGCTGTGGTCTGCTCTCCCCAGCTAATCTGTCCCCTCCAGCGTCTCATTTCCACCATCTCTGCCTCAAAACCCAGTGGGACTTCTCTGAGCTCTGCTGGGCCAGGCGGTCCCCTCCTCCCCCAGGGGTGGCCCTCTGTGGAGCCATTCTTGTGATGTCAGACCAAGGACTCTTGGTCCTCCCTGTCCAAGCACTGCTGGGGCCCCAAGCCCCGTACGCCCACTGTCCTTCACAGAGCTTCCATTGCCTGTCCCCAAACGTACAGGAGCTTCGTCAGGTGGAGAGGCCCCGTCCTTAGACACTTGGGTTAGGGGAGATGCTATTGTTCTCGTGTTGGAACACTCAAGCGCCAGGGAGCTGGGAATGTGGCAAAGTCTCCCTGGAAATCTGTGTCTAGAGCAGCAGAAACTGGCTGCATGACAGTGCAGGCTGGTAAACGTGCAGCAGGTTGAGCAACGCTAACCTCCCTGTTTCCTCTGGTTGTGTAGGACGGTCCTGCTGAGGAAGGAGGTGCCGACCGTGGGGCTGGGATTTCGTGGCCCCAGGACTCGCTCTGACCCCGCAAAGTCTAAAGTTGGGGGGTCCCACTTCAGAGCAGCTCCTGGCCTGTGCTTGACAGCAACTTGTATGACTGGGAGGTCTCTAGGGACGTGTCTGGGACTCCATCCTCATCGGCATTTAGACAAGGGGCAAGATGGCAGGCTTGCCTCGTTGAGGATGACAGGGGCTTGGAGGGGTGGCAGACAGGAAAGTCAGGACCCAGAAATTTCCCGACAGGCTGGAACGGTGAGGCACATCTAACCACCCCTAGAATGTGGGCTCATGAGGGCAGGGCTCTGTGTCTACGGGGATCAATCCCGAGAACTCAGAATGGGGCCAGCACACGGCAGGTGCTCAACAAACATAAGATGAAGGTTGAGGGAAGGTGACCAGGTTTAAATGCTTGGTCCTGCGCCTGGATCTGCAAAAAGCCAGCTGATGTGGCTTAGCACAGCCCACGTGCCAAAGCCTTAGAAGTTCCCACTAACGTTAGCTTGAAATTGATGGTGTGATGTGTCCCAGAACAATGCAGACTCAGGGTTGTGGACAGACGTGTGGTGTGTAGAGTGCTGGATGCTGATTAGAGCCATCAGCGTGACTGTGGACGTCCACCTCAGACAGGCAGGAGGACAGGAGGAGGACTGGCCTGGAGAAGAGGCTCAGAGGTGTTCTGGAAAGTTCCAGGGAGAAGTGTGGGGTGGGGGCAGGAGCCACGGGAGGAAATGCGTGGACTAACCTAAGCAGTTAGGAAGTGGTACCTGAAAAGGCAGTGGGGAAGGGCGGGAGGGAAGGGGCCCCACCGATGTGAGGCTCAGCCCCAAGGGGGAGGCCGCCTGCAGTGAGGGGCTGGTCTGACGGGAGGTTTGGGACCTTCCTGGGCCTGGGCACAAGTGGCAGGCACCTGCTGAAACTTTGGTGTGTGACAGTGGCCTCACGTGCCCCAGTTACTCCTGGGAAAGAGGAACGGCCCTCGCTCAGTTTGGCTGAGGAGGGAGAGGGGACACCCTTGTACGTGGCCCAGGACCCCTTGGATGTGGACTTGGGCCAGTGTCCCGCACTGACAACCACCAGGACACTCCTGTGTGGTCCTGGCTGGTCCACCCCGGGCCTGACAGTCACCTGCTCCTTCAGGGAGCTGCTCACACGCACGCACGTCCCTGGAGGAGACGCCTCCCTTCTCCTCACACCAGGGACAGAAATCCTAGCACAAGGGGCCATCCTCCACACTTATCTATCACCAAGGTGGTCCCAACTTCTGTTTACCTAAAGCTCTTCGAAGACTGTGAATGATTTTTTCCAGAACTGTTAGGCTTTTAATCTGATAAATTGTTTCTTTCTCCTCTTCTGTGGGAAAAATTAAGCATAGTGATCAAGATTTGACAAACCATTACAGTTTAATTCCAACCTTGTATTTTTCCCCTCAACCAGGCCGTCTGGTGCTCCACCCCATTCTTCCCCTCTCCTCTGCATTGTCTCCGGAATCCCTGGGTCCCTCCATCAGCCTTTCATTTCCCTCCTCGTCAGCTCAGAAAGGTGCCAGCGCATCAGCTGGATCTCCCTTGTCAACATGTACACTGTCTACTCATCAACAAGTACACAAGTCACGCATGCGCCTCTCGCCCTTTATCTTCCATCCCATCAGGGGACGCTCTTTAGAGTTTGACAAGTATCCTTAAGAAAGCACGTATAAAAGACTAGCTAAAATAGATTAAACAGCAGGAAAAGGAGAATTTTCACTGTAGGTGCCACCATGCTTCTCGGCAGTGTAAGAGAACTGTTCTAGCCCAGGAAGCGGAGTGAGTGAGCTTCCAAGAGGTTTCCCTGCTCAGCAGAACAAGAATAAGAAAAGTAAGCAAACTTCTCAACCTGATAATTGCATCTACAAGAAGCCTACAACAAACATCATACATAACGGCACAAGCCTGCTATTTCCTACTGAGGTCTAGAAGAAACCAAGGGTGCTCCCTTTGTCCACTTCTATCTAGAACCTTCCTAGAGGCCCTGACCAGTGCAATAAGGCAAGAAAAATTTAAAAAACGCATAAAAGTCAGAAACAAAGAAGTAAAATCTGTCATAGAAAAATGATAGGGAATCTATAAAAAAACTTCTATAGTGTTAGTGCAGAGTCCTGGGCCAAAGACAATTTCTAGTTCATTTTCTTGAGGTGGAGGGTTTTAATTCTCTAGCTCCTCCCACAGCAATGGGTCTTTGCCTGAGTCCTGAGGGTGTGAGTGTTTGCTACTCCTCTCTCCGAGGAGGAGGGCTTATTTCTTCCCTTTCCTGGAATAAACAAGTAAATAAGGAGAGAAGGTACAGCTCTTCCTTAAAGTAGAATTCAAACCAAGAAATGCAGAAGGAATGATGGAAATAGAAAATCGCTTTTTGGCAAATACAACAGTCATCATTTGGGGGCTGGCCTGGTGGCATAGTGGTTAAGTTCATGCACTCTGCTTCAGTGGCCTGGGGTCTGCAGGTTTGGATCCCAGGCTGGACCTACACACTGCTTATCAAGCCATGCTGTGGCAGCATCCCACATATAAAATAGAGGAAGATGGGCACATATGTTAGCTCAGGGCCAATCTTCCTCAGCAAAAAAAAAAAAAAAGAAGAAGAAGAAGAAGAAGGATTAGAAACAGATGTTAGCTCAGGGCTAATCTTCCTCACGCACACAACAGTCATCATTTTTGCAGGTAAAAAGCAAATGAAGCTCAATTAGTAGGTGAAAATATGATGAGAAGTAGGATATTTTCACAGTCTGAAAGTATCTCCCCACAGGACACTAATAACTTACAAGTGAAAAAAATATTAACTTGATTATGGAGAAACCTGGTGTACAGCACTTTAAATAAGTGACCAAAGTAACCCTCCCAGTGCTGAGACTTGTCTCCGTCACGCACATCCTCCTGTGCTGCGGGAAGACAGGCTGAGCACCACGTCTTCAACATTCTTGCCAGAAATGCATAACCTGGATCTAGTCATGGGGAAAATCCAGACAAACCTGAATTGAAAGCGATTCTATGAAATAACCAGCCGGCACTCTTCAAGGTCGTGAAAGACAAAAACGGACCAGGCAACCTCCCAGATTGGAGGAGACTAAAGCGACATAACAGGTAAACGCAACGTGGAATCCTGGACGGATCCCGGAGCCAAAAAAATGACATTACTAAGGTACCTGGCAAAATCTGAGTCAGGTCTGTAGGCTATTTAACAGTATGGCTGCTGTTAAGGTCCTGGTTTTAGTGCCTAGTTGTACTGAGTCATGTAAGATGCTAACACCGGGAATGCTAGGTAAAGGAGCACCGGAAACTCTGTGCTGCTTTCACAGATTTGGGTAATTCTACAATCATTTCACCACGGGAACTGTTTCAAACGCTTGCGCTGCCCTTGTTTTACCCGCCCTGCTGTCTGCCTGCTACACATTTCCCAGAGGCGCCAACACGCACACCTGTCCATATGGAATCGTGCACACACACAGCAGCAGCCCACTTCCACTTACAAACGCCCAGAGGCAATCTGCCTGTCTACAACAGCATTTTGCAAATAAAGATGGACGATCCTAATCTTTGCTGAAGACGACAGTCCTCCAACCAAGCAGCAATTTCCTTCCTGTTCCTTCTGCAGGTGGGAGTGCAAGAGCCACGGGCAGCCTTGCTTTCCCTCCCCAGAGAGTGAAGAAGGCGCCCGTCCAGGTCTCAGGGACTTCATCTGCAGCCGGTGGCACCATCCATCCCCTGCTAACTGGCACGTCAGGCCTCCTACCCATGGCCCCCACCCTTCTTGGAGCTCTCCCTTCAGGCTTCTATTGTGACCAAAGTAAAATGCTAAGGCTTTTGTCTCCTCTCCGAAAAACTCCAACCCACCTCTTCGCACTATCTCAATCAGTCCTGCCTGGGAGCTCGTTCCCAATTCACCTCCAGCCCGCTACGTGGTATGGGGCGATCCCTGAACCGAGCGGTGCCTCAGTTTCTCCACCGGAGAAACACAGGAGTGGGACTAGAAGAATTTTATTCTCTAGCTACATGGAGCACAGTCCACTTTTGCCACACCCACGCTGCTGCCAACATAGGGGTTCTTCACTCGCTGCATCATACTCAAATAGTCTAAGTGATTAAGATGACAGACAGCCGTGAAAGCAAAGTTTTAGAGTTGCAGCCAACCTCAGCGTTCGTCTGATCTGCCCTCCACCGGTGCAGGACTTTCCCATCCACACTGTTCCTAACATCCTGCAGCTTAGCCAGAGCCTTGCTTACGAAGAGGAGGAAATGTCTGGATAGCAGACGGCTCTGCCCGCACGACGGCGATTCTCAAGTGCTGCCTGTGTGTTTTTAAATTCATGATCTGCACACTGAGAGTGGGAAAGCGCTGCATGCATGCACACTGTTTGCACACTCCAGGGAAGCCCTAATGTCGTGGATGCAGGTCCTTTGAGGAGCACAAGCCATGACACTTTCCAGAGACCAAGGGGCCCCTTTGCCTTTCCGTCTAAGCAAAAGTGTTTCCAGTTGGCAGATAAGGGCAAGCTGTTGAGGCGGAAGCGCCCAGCTTGCTGTCCCTGGCCCCAGCATTCTTTCAGGAACCACAACAACGAGCTTGGCCAGTGTTGTAAAGCGAGGGGGCTGGACAAGGGCAGCATCTCAGAACCAAACACAAATTTGCAGCATTGCTGGTTGACAAGGCACAGGCAGAGGAACACGCAGTAATGAGGGCCTGGGTCGGGTCTCCTTTCATTTGCCGTGCATTTCTGTCTCACGTGTGAGACACTGCCTTTGCTCCGGGGTTGCCGATCGCCTGGGCTCGTGCCAGTGAGCAGTCCCCGACTCTTAGATGCATGTGACACTGGCCATTTGTCAGGAAGCTGGTGGGCTCACAGAGGATCAGTGGGGACCACCCACCCCTGCTCCCGGGGAAACCACCTGAAGGGCAGCTGCACGGGAGTTGGTTTCTCTGCACCCCGAGCACAGGCGAGTGGCCCGAAGGCTCTGCTCACAGAGCTGCTGCTGGACTGTGGCCTCGAAGCAATGGTGTTCTGGGCTTTCATTTCATTAGGACAGAGTGGAGTGGGTTCTACATGAGATGGTGGCCCGAGGACACTGCTGTCTGTCCTCCCCGCTTCCTGGCAGCCCTGGGCACCACCTCCATCCTGGCCCCAGACTGCAGGTTACCCTCTGTTTGGCCCCAAATTCCCTCCTAGGCCACCCTCTCCCACTCTGCCCCAAACTCATAACTTACCTCTGTTTCCTCTCAGTCCCTAAAGCGGCTGGTCTGGGCTTGGTGGTTAGGAGCAAAACAATTCAATTAAACAGACTCATTTACAGCAAGGCGTGGGTTTGCCTTAGGGCCCAGATAAGTCCAGGGCGTGTCCCAGCAGCTCAGGGAGCCACTCTGGAGGCAGGCTCCACAGAGGCCCTCAGCTCAGTCTCAGGATCAAGGATAAACACAGCGGTGGTGGGCAGTCCTGTCTTGAGCTGTCCACACACACAATAGGTTTGGGAATCTCACTCTCCCTCTGAGGCCCCTGGTGGGCTGGTGGCTCCTCTGACAGCGAGTTTGGCTTCTCTGGTCCTCCCTCCCTCACCTCCTACCCCAGACTCAGACCCTTCCCCCTCGACTCTCGTTCTCAGCCTGTCTCGGGATTTTCAGTGCCTTCCTACTTTCTCCTGCTTCTCCAGCGAACGCAGTGGGTATGATGCAGAGAGACTGTGCCTGTGAGACCACTCCAGCTCATGGCGGCCCTCTCAGTACAGACTCAGCCTGCAGCCTCTCTCGTTGTGGGCCCACCGCCAAAGAGACTTCTAGCTACATTTAATTCTTAATCATCAGGCAACTTGCAGAGGTCCACGAGAGGGACGAATCCAGAGGTGTTAGAAATAGTAACTGTAACTAGAATCCTATTCTCGTTCAGTCCTTCCAAACACCAGAGGCTGGCTCACTGGAGGAGACTGGGGAATGGACTGAAATGCGGGTTTCCAGGCCCTGCCTGCAGAACCCCTCGGTGGGGCCTGGGAATATGTGTCTGAGTCAGCTCGCATCCCCTGGGCCGGGAGCACCACTGGGCTGGGGAGCCGTGACCTGGTCCTGCTTCTCAGCCCCTCCACCGGGCCTCACCCGGGTGTCCCACAAGCTACACATGCCCTTTCTTTTGTGGGGTCTTTATGGTAAAAGACTCTATTACCCCTTGGGATGCTAGCTCCCCAGTCTCGGAGCCTTGGCACACAGGTTTTCATTTCCACAAACTCATCCACTGGAGGGACACTTTTCCCCACTCCTGGGGGCACCCTTGGGGGGCCACTCTGGGCTCTTGCCGCCCACCCACCCCAGGGGAGGAGCAGTGACAACTGAAAGTTTGGGGAGGAAGGGGCAGTGTGGCAGCACCTTGCTCTCCCTCTGGCGTCCCCCTGCTGGGACTACATTTCTGCTCCGCTCCTCTAGGCTCTGGTTTTCCCGAGGCAAACCCCAGCAGGGGGTGGGGGGGCGGGTGGTCCCTCAGCCCAACAGAGACTGGGGATATCTGCCTCCCCCGGCAGGGATCGCTCCAGCCCCGCTTTTATCCTCCATAAAGGAGATGTCTCCACCGGCCTCTGTCCGGCTCCTCTGTCCCCCTACCACGTCCTGAACTCGGGAAGGGGAATTACCGGGTTTCATTTACCATTAAAGGAAAGTCTGTCTTCATTCCCAGAAGAGAATTGCTTTACATGATGCTTCTTATTAGTACTGATCAGATAGTTCATTTTAATATGGACTTCTTTGACGAAGCGCATGGAACAAAAATGGGGGAAAACGTAAATGTACACTCTTAGGAACATTTGGGTCCATACTTTATGTTAACACATCAGGTTGGAATGCTACTAGAGTTTTCAAGTTCTACTGAAAACGTGTGTTGGAAAGTCAGTGTGTAGACAGAGTCAGGCCTCATCTCACCACCTTGAACCCAGGGACCTGGGCCTCGGCAGATGGTGGGTGAGCTAATCCTAGGAACTGGAATTGACACCTGGATGCAAAATTTCAAGAAAATGCTGCACGTCGCTGCTGCTGCTGCATGCATTTTCATGCACCACTTGTAGATTCCTGACACCCGGCTCTCGCCCGACCAAGTGTCAATCAAATATTCTGTCCTGGCTCTCAGCACGCTATTTTATTTATCTGGTACATTTTGAACAACAGAAGCTGCGCTTTGGAAAAGGATTCTCTTCATTTTGCTCACTGCTAGCTGTGCGGCCTTGGGCAAGTCTTTCTCAGACCCCAGCTTTATCCCCTGTGGATGGGGGCATCGTCACTGCCTGGCTCTCTCAGGAGGCTCAGGTGAGCGTCGGACGCCCTGGCTGCTGGAAAGCGCCTATTCTCCTGGGCCCCGTGCTCCTGCGGTGGCTAAACCCCAACTGCAGCCTGTGCACAAGACCTTGCTTGCACGTGCACCCCAGGGACACCCCAAAATAAAGGGGCCTTGTCGCTGCCAGTCGAGGTCTGACTCCTCAGTCTCGGGAGGTTATGGAAGTGGTTTGGGACAACGGCTTCCTTCACATCTCCCCTGCTCTTGCCCCTTGAAGAACGCTAACACGATGGGATATCTGTTAACACATACCACACAAACCACAGACCTCGAGGATGACGTGCAATTATGCGTTTAAAAAATGATACTTGCTTTTTTTCTTTGTACTCTTTGTTGTGAGTGGTCTTTGTGTTTCATGCAACTTTGATTTCTCCTGATCCAGCATCTCTTGGACTAGGATCTCATCTTGGGAAAAGCACACAGGGTCACGTTAAAGCCAGCGACACAGGACCCAGACCCTTTTGCTCCCCGGGACCTAAGGCAGCCTGTGAACGCAGAGACTGGAAACAGGGACTCAGGGAGCTCCGTGGCTGTGGGACGGGCTTTCTAACGAACTCATCTGGGGCGAGGAGACCACCGCCTCCCTACATCATTTCTGAAACCTGAGACCACCCAGATACCCTGGACAATAAACATTGCCCCCAAAGACACGGCGGGAAACCTGGCCCCAGGTGTGGTCATAACGCTCCTTCCTGCCCCTGTTGTCCTTTCGTCCCTCTCTGAGGCGGCCCCAGCTGTCCCGTGTATGCGCGAATGTCTTTCCTCATTTCTACATAACATGGCCTTGTTTTCTTCCTTTACATCCTCTGACCTCTCCTGGGAAGCTTTTAACCTAAGATCCTGGACTTTGTGGCAGACAGACCCGGACCACAGGCTGGCTCTGCTCTCTCCAGAACGTGACCTTGGGCAAGTTTCTCTTGGACCTTCCATTTTCTCGGCTGTAAAACGGGGTCTGTATTTATCTCATTGGGCTTTTTATGAGTTTCAAATAAAGCAGTGTACATAGCAAGCACTTAACACAGTCTGGTCTGTGGTGGAGGCTAAATGAATAAACAGCAGCACTGAGTCCCCTGTCTCTGCAACACAGCAGGCACTCTGATCAGCCCCCTACCTCTGCAACACAGCGGGTGCTCTGACCAGCCCCCCATCTCTGCAACACAATGGGGACCTGACCAGTCCCCCATCTCTGCAACACAACGGGGACCTGACCAGTCCCCCATCTCTGCAACACAATGGGCACCTGACCAGCCCCCCATCTCTGCAACACAATGGGCACCTGACCAGCCCCCCATCTCTGCAACACAGTGGGCACCTGACCAGCCCCCCACCTCTGCAACACAGCGGGAACCCTGACCAGCCCTCCATCTCTGCAACGCAACTGGCACCCTGACCAGCCAGTCCACACACTGGGTTTGTGCTGACTGGAGCCCAGTGGGGGTGACCAACCTGTGCAGGTTTGCCCTGATTTTCCTGTTTTAGCGTGAAAGTCCCGTGTCCTGGAAGCCCCTCAATCCCGGGCAAAGCAGACGGCTGGTCACCCTAGTTTTAGCTCATGAGATGGAGATGGAGCAAAATAGGTCTACCAGGTGAGAAAACTCTTGTTTTAAACCACGTCTAATTTCTTATGGTCAAATTTTCTCTTTTGAGAAATGAGATACTGAGTATTCAAACAGACAATGACCAGACCTACATAAAAACTGAACCCTGACCCACTGTCTCAGCGCCCAGCCCAGGCGGCCAGCCTGTTGTCCACACTCACACTCGCAGGAGGCCGACCGCTGTCCCCAGCAACAACCCCCGAAGCCAAACAACCACCTGCAGCATCGGCCCTGATGGCCGGGACGTGATCAAGAATCTCAGCTCCCCCAGCTTCTGTCCCTGCTGCCAGCTCAGGACCAACCAGGGAAGCCAGATGTGCTCCCGGACCCGTCACACGGGACGCCTGCTTCTGGTTAGCCGTCCTGGTGTCCCCCGGCCAACATGTCTGATGGGACACCCCCGAGCTGTCTCCCAGCGAGCACCTCCATCTGTCAGGGCACCTCTGACCGTCCCCTGGCCAGCATCAGGACACCCCTGAGCCATCCACCGGCCAGCATCTCCATTAGGACACCCCTGACCCTCCCTTTCCCACCCTGAGCTCTCTGAGGGTGAGAGAGCTCCCTGCCTGCCTGAGTCTCTGCCACACGCAAGTGACAGTGGCTGACTCCCGCTCCAGCGAACTTGAAGTCAACAGCCTCTGCCGTTCTCGTGTGGGTCGTCTTCGCTTATTTCCAGAGACACGGATTTCTCCCTCGTAAAGCTTTCCCCTTCCAGCTGGAGAAGAGTGGGGGCACGGTGGGAGCCACAGTTCCCCTTCCAGGGTTGGTTTGCTGCACCCCAGAAAATCATCAGAAATCTCAGGGACTCTAGGAGTTCCGACATTTTCCCAGAAGGTGTCGGGATCTTGGAGGGAGCAGGTGCTGTGTCAGGACTGTAACTCTCCACACACAGGAACTGCCAGACCCGCCCGGAGAGTTGTGAATCTCATTACAGCCCCTGCTTGGCCTGGTGAGTTTGACTCTCCCTGGGGCTGCTCACTCGACTAGTGGATGGCCCTTCGAGTTCCTGCACATTGTACCTGACCAGTGCAGAGCATTTCAGGGGGTCTAACTCTGCTGAAACTCACACCTGCATGGGCCCATTGGGACGTGATTCTAGTCTCAAACCAGGTGACTTCCCTCCCTGCTGTGTAACTTGCACCAGGTGACCTGGGAACCCTCCGATGACAATCACTCAACCCCTCCAAATACAGCCAGATATTTGATACGAGGAGGTTCCTTACCAAATACTGTAGCCATATCATCATCCAGATTTCTTAAACTTGATGGCAATTCAGTACTTGAAGCTAGGGGGGAAAAAACCCCAATAATTTAACAATGTTCATTGAATTTGCGCTGACTTGTCTCTAAACAGATTCAGTTTTGGGGCGCCCCCAGCCTGCTCTAGGGTAGGAAGCCGTGCCCGGAGCTCCTGGGATGGGTTCTCATCTGGAAAGTGGAGCAAGGTGGCTGGGAGGACAGAGGACATGTTCACCCTGTGCTGAGCCGCCACCTGCTCCTGGGCGGTGCACACTGGCACCGTCCCTCAGGAAGGGAACAAATGTCCCGGCTCCCAGGATGACTGCGTCTGCGCAAGTGCTGAGGAGGCAAATGAGGAGGGACGCACTTGTCCTTCCGTAGAAAGCGCACTTTTACCTCCTTTATGCACGTTCCAACAATGAGTCCGTCTGAAAGCTTAGGAATACGATCTGGAGAAACGGAGACAGTGTGGAATGCCGTTGGCCTTGGCGTTCTCTGGTTGGGAGGGGGAGGGCCCAGAGAGACTGGCCACCCGCTGTCTCCTCTTTCATAAGCAGAGCGATTCCTGGGGCTCCCGTCACAGGCAAGACACGAGGCTCATAGGTGAGCTGCCCGGGCCCAGACGTCAGTCCTCCGTGGGATCCCTGGACTCTGACCTCAGCCTCCTGCACCTCGTTGAACTGAACTGAGGGTGCTGGGGACGGGAGAGTGTGCGGGGACTCTGAGCGCTGGTCTCCCCTCGGCAGCACCCACCAAAGGGTTCGTCCCACTCTGCTTTCTCAGAGCTGCGATGTCCTGGTCCATTCCCTTGACTCAAGGTCAAGGTCAGGCTCTTCCCCCAGCCCCCAGGTAGCGGCAGGTGGACCAGAGAGGAGACAGCAACCCCCAAGGGTGGCTGGGCAGGGCCACCTTCCCCTTGCTGAAGCACACAGCATGCAAGTGGTGTCTGCAGACTCTGAAGTTCCAGCCCTAAACCAATGACAACGCTGATTTTCAAAGAGTTTTAATGGGGGACAATCTGCATACCAATCGGCTCATCTGCACACACAGGGCCCAGAACAATGCAGGGAAACGATGTAAAAGGTCTGTGCCGTGATGACAATGCTCCCAGTGTGCCGACCTCGTAAAGGAAGCCAACAAAAGTACAGTCTCTCTGGAGGAGACATTAAGGAGTCGTTAAGAATGGGTACAGCTGCATCGTGCAAGCACATTGTTAAAAATGTTCTTCTCATTTTGTGTCTGTCCTGTAATTATAATGGAAGTATTGTGTCAGTCAGCCAGTCAGCGTATGCAGAAAAATATTTATGTTTTGTAATATCTGGACGGTTTTTAAAGTGCACTGTCAAGTGTGGCTGCTGTACCGCATTTTGCCTTGTTGTCACCTCTTACTGACGCCTCTCAGCTTTAAAGTGCCCCAAGCCTGTGTTATCACGACAATCACTATTCTGTCTCTATACGTGCCTGGTGCACATCCCGGCCACCAGGGAAGGGTCATTGTGGAGCCCTGCGGTTGTGCTCTGCTTAACTTGGGGCAAACAAGGCTGTACCCCCCTCCATCATGAGGCCCATGGCTGCTGCTCCCCCTTCTCTGCTGGTGGTCAGGCCAGCCCACGTGGCCCACGGCAACACTGCCCACCGCGGCCGGGGACCCCAGAGCAGAGTAAGGAAACCAATGTGCCTTTGAGAGAACCGTTTAGAAACTGCCCTTAACTGTCTTTCAAGCTAGGAGAGGCCTTGAAGGTCACCTAAAGTGTTCCCTGCGGGGACAAGGAGAGCGGATCTGGGGAGGGGAGGCGCTGCCTTGGGGTTGCATCAGGAGCCCCCCATTTAATCCACGCATGTGGAGCAGTTCCCGAGGACCCTGGGGGCAGGACCACCACAAACAGGAGTGAGCAAGCTGTAGGGATGGGTGGCAGCATTGGTGATCACAGGTCCCCCACCTGTAACAGACCTGTAGGCACCCCCAGCACCCTAAAGGACGCTGTCCTCAGTAAGCACCTCAAAACTAAGTTTCCTTAAGAAAAGGAAGTTGGGAAGGTGAGCTTCTTTCATGACATCATCAGGTGTGGAGGACCACCTACCTTCTCACCCAGACCAAGGCTGAACCATCCCCGGAGTTAAGGCTGGGCCTGGCGTGGGTAGGAGGGAGTACACCTCCGGGTTGGGCCAGCACCCACACGTCCTGCTCCCAGGAGACCCCACGACCATGGGTGACTCTTCAGGGCCTGCTGGTCCAACCGTGGGAGCTGGGGCGGGGGACCCTGTCAGGCCCCTTCCTTGAGCTTCCGTCCTTGGTGACCTCTGAGGAAGGGGGGAGGTGGAGGGGGAGCAGGTGGCCTGAGCAAGCAGCTTCCTGGCAGGAAGTGGGGTCACGGAGGCCCCACCCCCTTTCTGGTGCCTTCTGCCCACTCTGCCAGTGAGTCACATCCGGGAAGGCCGTCCCCGTCCATTGTCCTCTTCCTCAACACATACATGGTCAGGACAAAAGGACCAAGCCCAAGGCACGTGGACCTTGTGTGGGTGGGATTGGAACCAACCACCTGTAAAAGGACCTTCTGACGCTGTGGAGAGATTTGAATACAGGCTGGGTATTAGCCGCTGTGCAGGCTTCTGTTAATTTTGTTAGTTTTTTTTTTTTTTGGTGAGGAAGATTGTCCCTGAGCTAACATCTGTGGCAATCTTCCTCTATTTTGTAGGTGGGACGCCACCACAACACGACTTGATGAGGGGTGTAGGTCTGTGCCCGGGATCTGCACCCATGAATCCTGGGCCACTGAACTGGAGTGCGCTGAACTTAACCATCATGCTACTAGGCCGGCCCCCATTTTGTTAGTGTTTTAGTGACATTGTAGGGTGTAAAAGAAAAATGGCCTTATCTGTTAGCAAGAAAACATTTACAGGAAATGATAAGACATCTTGGGCCAGGGCTAAAATGCTCCCAATAACAGAAGTGTGTTTGTGTAGAAAAAACAAGATGGCAAAAAATGTACAGAATTGAAACTGGGTGAAGGAGGTTCTTTACACAATTCCTCTACTTTTGGGTAAGTTAGAAATTTTCCATAATAAAAAGTTAAAAAATAATGTACACTATTCTCGCATGGAGTTCTGGATTTTAAAAAGGGCTTCAAAGATAGAAAAACTTTTAAACTTACTCCATTTCCCGGGGAAGAAATGCTAAATTCGGGGAGGCTGGGAAGGGGCGGGGCCCGTGAGAGAAGAAGGCGGTGCCGCCTGACTCACCCCGGGAGGCGCAGGTGCTCCACCTGCCACAACAACCTGCTGTGACCGTACCTGCAAACATTCTCGATGGCTGGAGCTCAGCTCCCTGCCAGCAGCACAGCAGCAGGACCAAGAGGCTCACTCCTCTGCTCGCTGCCATGCTCCTCCAGCTGAAGGAGGAGGACCTTCTCCTGAAGGCCCCTCAGCTTCCCCCGCCGTGGTCTCCAGGATACTGTGGAATGTTTGGGGACCTGTGACATCAGGGCAGGAAGTGAGCCAGGTCTTGCCCTGTGTGTTTGGGGTGGGAGAGAGTCATGCCCAGGGTCTGTGACTGGGAAGGAGGGGGAGGCTGGCTGGGGCCTTGATTTATGGAAATCCCCTCTACTGGCTCCCATTTCCTGTTCCCGTTCCTTCTTCAGTCCTGCAGATCCTTTGTTTATTTCCACAGCATCACCTGGAAGCTTGTTAGAAATGCAGAGTCTCAGGACCCAGCTCAGATCTCCTGAATCAGAATCGGCATTTTCTCCAGATCCGCAGGAGGCACATGTGCACAATAAAGTTTGGGAAGCTTTATTGTGGGTTCCAGGGCATCTTTTTTAGCAGCTACTCTGGCTCTTGTAGAGGAGGAAAAAGTTTTCTTCCACCTTTTTAGGGTCCTTGGCTGGGTCTGAAAATTAAAGTAACAAAGATTAACATAAGAAAAGCATACAAATTTACTTAAAATAAATTTTATGTGGAATGGAAGTCTTCATCCAAAAATGAAGATCTGAAGAAACAGTTTGACCTGAGTATTTTTATGCTAGGTTTGATGAGGAGTGGACAGTCGTGGAGGAACGTGGACGGTCAAGCCCACGAGGTAAGGGTCGTGAACTGGGGAAACGTGTCAAGGCCTGGCTGTCGGGATTCTTCACGGCCTCCCGTTGTCTCTGGAAATAAGGACGCTCTTTTCCCCTGGGTAGAGGGAGGGCGCCTCTCACAGGAGGGTGTTTGACTTGTTTTGGGGAGAAGGGCCAGGGAGGGAAGAGGTCAAAGCGACCTTCCTATTTCTGCCATTTTCTCAAACTCTTTCAGCTTGAGATACACTCAACAGGCCATGGAGCCATGTTTTGGAGCAGCACATCCTGAAGCCCATCATTCCCCTGCCTGAAAGTTCCCCGAGAAATTTCACGATCTGGAATAGATGTCCCATACCCATTGAGCCAGTCTCTCAGTCTTGGGCATTTCTATGGAAACAAAAGAAAACGGTTAATGGTTAGGACAAACTATAAACTCAGTTTTTGAGTCCAGGGGGCAGTCATTGGAGAAGATGTCTAGATGTTGGTCCCAAAGCATCTTCAGATGGTGTGAGGGCAGGCAGTGGCAATCTGACAGATTTTCCTGGTTTGCAGTTTGAATGTCTCTGGTGATGTCATCCTACGTTCCTGCAAACTCGAGCTGTCTGAGTGCCCCGCACAGCAGCAGCCGCAGACCTGGTCCGGACGCGAGCTGTGTGGTGGCGTCTCTGAGCTCACGTCACATTGTCCAGCTGCAGCTTGCTGGGCTCCAGGAAAGGGGCAGTTTTAATTTTCAGTGATTCGAGTCAGAAGGGTGGGAGAAAAACTGGAAACATTGGTTTGGAGAGTTGTAGCCAGACATTGGAGGAAATTAGAAGAATTCAGTATCCGGTCTAGTTTTCTCCCCAGCTGTGCTGAGATATAGTTGACATATAACATTGTGTGAGTTTAAGGTGTGCGACACAGCGATTTTATGTATGTATATAGTCCAGTTTACTGGTAGGTAACAAAACCTGAAAGACGATGAACAGGACCAGAATTTAATACCCACAAGGACATGCTGTAGTTTTCCACTGAAACACAATTTTTCTCTCTACAGTCACCCTCATTTCTATCAAAGATAATCAAAGTAAGATGAATTTGTTTGCAAAATAGGTCTAGTCTCATTAAACTTGGCCTGATTATTTACGTAAATGCAACAAGAATAGTGACTGACCACATAGCTATTTTGAGTTTGCTTTGCTGGAACTTCTCATAAGGAATCTCAGATTGGATTTTTAAAAGCCTCTTGAGGCCCGGAAGCCAAACCAAGGACTCGCCATCAGATTTTTGCCTGTGATACCTACAGATTTGGGTGAATTCCTCTCTTCTCGAGGTCCCCCAAATATCCTAAGGTTCCTGGGCCTACCAAGAAGTGACCTTCCTCACTCACCTGGTGAGGTTGCTGGAAACCCTGTCAGCAAGGTACTGGGCTGGTTTTCCAAGGAGATTTATTGGCTCCATAAAATCAACCTTAGTTCCTGAAGGCTGTCTGGTCATATCTGATTCCATGTATGTTTTGTGTCAGTTTCAGGCTATCGATAGTGATGCTATTGGCTAGGAATGCCTCAGGCACTCACCTGGTCTCGTGCTACTTGTGATGAGCCCCCGTAGACATTTGCCCAACCAGAGCAAATGTTGCAGCTGGACTGACTCTTGTCTGTAGGGTGACTGTGGGGTGCACTTCAGCTACAACCATCAGGGAGCTTTGAAGAAACAAGGTTTATTACTCACACATACTGGAGGATATATGGGCATGCCTGAGGACCACACAGTAAGGTTGTGGAGGGGAGAGAGAGAGAGCATGTGGACCTAGGTCTCTGCCTTTATTAGGGTCAAAGGGTGGGGTGTCTAGGGTTTCATGGGTTCACTCTTTATTGGTGAATTTAAAACATCAGAGTGGGGATTAGAGCACAGGAAGGGAGAAGTGGGGTCACTCAAGTGGTCAGTTATCTAGGCCATCCAGGGCTTTCCGAAGGAGGAACTTCATGGGTGGGGTGGCCTGGTTCCTTATTTAGTTGTTTAGCTAGTAACTGTGTCATACACCAGCAATATGTTTGTTCAAGATGGATGTCTTTGAAATGGATGCCTCTGCAATCAAAAGCTTAATATCAGGCACCTACATTATAATCAAAAAAGCTTAATGTCAGACACTTATACTACAATGTGTATTCTCAAATATGACATTCCAGTCAAAGCCTTGGTAATATAACCAATGTTTCCAATTATGACCTGTTATGAAAAGAACAGATTCTTATTGAATTTATGCAAATAACTATATTCCCATGAAAACAGAATACTCACTAAGAGTTTTTGAATTCTGGAGGAATCCGGTAGGGAGAAAAGAGAAATGCTTCAATTCTGTTTACAAAGGTATAATTCACCAAATTACCATAATTGATAGCTTAAGAGAAAAAGATTTCCCTTAAATATGGAAAAACAAAACATTAAGGAACCAGCAGTTTCAAACAAAAAAGCACTACAAATTGTAGTCATTCATCAGTTCGTTCAGTCCTATGTAATTAATTCTTGCTCTGTGTGATCTTGGGTTAGTGGTTTCCTGAATCCATCAGCTTCTCTGTTAGTTCTGGCAATTGTTACCCAGTCCTGTGGTATGATCTTAAAGTTATTTCAGCAATGTCATCAAAAGTGTGTGCCTCCACGGTACCTGCCCTTTCCACAAGTTTCAAGGATGATCCTTTTTTGTTGAAGATGAAGAACATTGGCTAGTAGTTGATTGCAAGAACACTCAGGAAAACATCAGAGTAAAAAATAACCATCTGTGAATGACCAAAGGCTTAAAATGACTGTGGTTAAAGATGCAATGAAAGTTTGCAATTGACAAGGAAATGTAGTTGTTCCTGTGACATACAGCACTTTAAGATAACTAGAATGATTGATAACATTATACCAGGACATACCATAGACAGAAAGGACATTAATAAATTTCTAGGAATTTTGTAGAATTTCTGAAACTAACATTTTACCCACATAAATATAACCTAAGAAAGATTAAGCATCACTTATTATTTGAGAATGTTTCCTCTGAAACTTAACATACCAAATAAACCTAGTTAGTTTAACATTTCTCTTTTTACAAGGTGAAAGACCAGATACGTTGAGATTTTCCAGGGACCCTCTGGGAAATTTCAAAGTCTCAAGGTCAGGATTTAATTTAGAATTTGATTTTGAGAAGTTGTCAAAAATGTCAAAATGTTTGAACATTTGATTGAATTAGATCGCAGATCACTACAAAATAATACTTACTTATCTTTTTAACCAAAGTGACAATAAAAGATTTCAAAAGTGAATGTAGGAGATGACATGATTGTTAAAAAAAACCAAAAAACAAACAAAAAAATACTAGCACTTTCACTCTTGAGAAGACTCGGTTTTCTTTAATAGTCAGAGACATGATCAAGATGACATAAAGTACACAGAATCTTTATTTCCTGGGTGGATTGCCCAAAAGGTAAAGAAAGGCTTTCATGATCTCTTATTAAGAGTGATCCGAGGGCCGGCCCCATGGCTTAGCGGTTAGGTGCTCGCGCTCCGCTGTTGGCGACCCGGGTTCGGATCCTGGGCGCGCACCGACGCATTGCTTCTCCGGCCATGCTGAGGCCGCGTCCCAGATACAGCAACTGGAGAGATGTGCAGCTATGACATACAACTATCTACTGGAGCTTTGGGGGAAAAAATAAATAAATAAATAAATAAATAAAATTAATAAAAAAAAAAAAAAAAGAGTGATCCGATAATCCAAGAAGACTTTGCTCTTCTAACAGAGAAAAAAAATGAGTATTGGGCTCACTTAAAAAATATAAATAAATCCATTCAATCTTAGTCAGCTTGACCACACAAGATAAGATTCTCTCTCTCTCTTTCATAGACTCTTTACAATTTTCTATATCCATTGAGGTTTTTGTTCTTTATTCTCCCCTTCCCATTCTACAACAAACTTTAAATAACTTCTGAACAAAATTACTCTCTCTCTCTCTTTTTAAAACAAAAAAAACATCCTACACACTTCATATGTTATATACTTTTCCTTATCAAAAACACATCCTATTTTCCTTGCATACTTTGTATACAGAATTGTTCCCCTTCACCTTATTATTTTTAGTAGTTTTATTTTCATATATTAATTATAATTCTTAACATTTAGTAACCTTTATTTTTCAGAGAAAACTAGGAAGTAGACAACTGTGCGTTGTCTGTCTTGTTGGCATGCTGTAGTAAATTAACAGATTTATGAATACACCATTTCATAATTTATAGAGGTACGTGCTTCCTCATAGTATATTTTTCAATGTGGCAAAAGGACATGTTTATTAATAGACCCAAATATCTTTAATCTTTCCTTAAAAATAATAAACTCAAAGTCACTAAATTTA